TCTCCTGCCTCAGCCTCCTGAGTAGCTGGGACTACAGGCGCCCGCCACCGCGCCCGGCTAATTTTTTGTATTTTTAGTAGAGACGGGGTTTCACCGTGGTCTCGATCTCCTCACCTTGTGATCCGCCCGCCTCGGCCTCCCAAAGTGCTGGGATTACAGGCATGAGCCACCCCGCCAGGCCCTCCTTTCTCTTTCTTTAGGAGTGTCTCTCTCTCTCTCTCTCTCTCTCTCTCTCTCTCTCTCTCTCTCTCTGTGTGTGCCTCTGCCTCTCTCTCTCTCCCTCTCCCCCTCCCCCCTCCCTCTCCCTCTCCCTCTCTTCCTCCCTTTCTCTTTCTTTAGGAGTGTCTCTCTCTCTCTCTAGGGGTGTGTGCGTCTGCCTCTCTCTCTCTCTCTCTCTCTCTCTCCCCCTCTCTCTCTCTCTCTCTCCCCCTCCCCCCTCAGTTTCCTCATCCATGAAATGGGTATAAAAAGAACTGCCTTTCATAAGTTCGTTCAGAAACATTACTTGCAGACCTCCTATGAGCCTGGCTCTCCTGCTGGGCACCAGAGCTGGACAAGACAGGCTCCCTGTCCTTGGTTCCTTCTGGAGCTCTCAGCCCTGGGGGAGAAGACAGACAGGGTACAAGGAACGAGGGAAATAAATTATTACAGAGAGTGAGATGCTGTGAGCAAATGGGTTCGACAGGCCAGATGGATGGCACAGCCACGGCCAAAGCCCTGAGGCTGGGAGCATTCAGCCCCTGGAGACCTAGGGAGGGCAGTGTTGCTGAGAATGTCAGCCAGGGTGAGGGAAGGAGGTGGGCATCCAGGGTGTGAGTGAAAACTCAGGGTGGGCCCTGGAAGTGGAGTGTCTTATCTCAGCCAGTCCCAAGGTTGTGGCAATGAGAATTCAATGAGAATGGTCACTTTCTCCTTTGGAGCTGAGATGCACATGACTTGGCTGTAATGGAACAGCTTTGCTTACAAGGGCTGCTCCTGTTTTGAATACACTAGCTTCTAATTCCCTGCCCCTCACCCCCACATGGCAAAGTCACATGTGTGCTTAGAGGACCTTCTGAGAGTAACAGATTTGCTTCAAGAGCACCTCCTAAACACTGGACATACATACCTGTCCAGCGAACCTCCTGTGGCTCCCATGGAAATGTCCCCATGAAGTCACGGCAGTGGTCCCTCTAGAATGGCAGCTGCCGTTTGTAGCGCATAGACTCTACAGACACTACCTTAGTTAATCATCACAACAGCTCTGAGAGGTGGGCATTTTTATTCCCGTTGTGCTGATGAAGCAAAGTGACACTCAGTGGTTGAGCAACTTGCCCAAAGTCACTCGCTAAGAAACAGCCAGATCCAGGATGCGAACCCATCTGCCAAGCACCCAGGCCTCTGCTCACTGTCGCTGTAGACTGGCACCTGTCATCTCTTCTTTCTGGACTGTGCTCCTTCCTGCCTTGACTACCTGGAAAGCTGCTGCTCCTCCATTGCACCCCAGCTCCGATGTCCCTGCTGCCATGACAAATTCCCGCCACCCTCCCGTGCTCTGCTGCAGAGGCCGATGTAGAAGTGTACTTGGTTGTCTGCCTGAGTACCCTTGTCTCCCCACTCCCCTATTTCTAGGTCACAGCTCTTGTCTCTGCCTCCAGATCCCAGCACAGGTCCACATGCAGCATCTGACAAAGGAAGGAAGGGAAGGGGAGGGGAGGGGAGGGGAGAGGAGGGAGAGGAGGGGAGGGAAGGAAAAGGAAGGAAGACATTTAAGGAGACCTGATTGTAATGGTAGCTTCCAGACGTGTAAAATCAGAGAACATTGCTTGACCAGAAACTGCTCAACTCCAGCTGGGAACTCTATGGACACCTGTCCTCTGTGCAGGCAAGAACTCAGTCACTGTCACCTCCTTCTTGCAGGGAAGCTGTGTGGG